CTTAGGCACAGAAGCCAGCTGGATAACTTTGTGGGAAAGTTTCCTACACTCTCTCTAAGTCTAGGAGAACTGTTGTGGGAAAAACAAGAGAAAGCCATGCTAAAATGTGGAAAACAAAGGTGAGATAAATTTTATTTGAGATAGTTGAATGGGTCGATACAGAAATTTGGTTTTGTTCCTTTTCATACAGCTTTATTTTAGTCTATGTTTATATTTCATCCATTGTGTGGGCAACTGATATATTTTTATAAATAATGAAATCTGAGTAGAAGTTTTTATAATTTCAAGCTCCTTATGATTGAAGGAACTAAGGACTTCTAAACAATCTGCTTCTAGCCTAGCCTAGCCTAGTCAAAACATTACTCTGTGTAGTTACTTTATACTTCAATCTTTAATTGATAATCTGAAAAAGAAAAAGCTGGAGCAATAATGGAAAAATATAGGGAAGTTATACTATATATGAAAAGTAAAGTTTAGATTCTAGATCATCATGGATCATTATCATCAACCTTAAACAAGGCAGCAAAATCTCTTCTAGAACACCCGAAGCCAGCAAGCTTAAAATCAGGGCTGGATCATCGGATCACTTCCAGAGTGGATCCATCCACTCTGGAACACAAGGCACCTGCTTACTCTTCCTCTCCAGAAGTGGATTTGAGGAGTCTTTGTCAGATTAACTCTGGTCAGACTGATACTCATCCAGACCCGTGGAATTAGAAATTCCACCACATCCGGCTTGCTGGACAAGACAGATGAGAATTGTAATTAGGAAGGACTACAACGGCTTTTCAGAATGCTTTTCCAGCGCTCCTGAAATTGTCAAGAGACTGAGCGGTTCGCCGGCATGAGCACAAAGCATGGCGTCTACTGCCGCGTTAAGGTGAAAGAAATAGCGAACTCCGGGAGTGCAGTTGCAACTGAGCAACCCAACCCTGCCACTATAAGCCCGCCAAGGAGAAGTCACGAAAGCCCCTCAATTCAACCTGAGCCCAGCATCCGAATGATCGCTTGTGTTTTGAAGACCTCCGTCGCCGCCAGGTTTGCATCTTCGCCATGCACCGTGTAGTAGTCGCCGCGCTCGAAGAACCTCACAGTCGTTTTAGGTTTTGCAGGCAACGCCAAGACGGCGCGAATAAAGCCGCTTTCGGCACCCGCGCCTTCGGGCCAGCATCCCTCCCGTGGAGCAGAAACACAAGCGTCTATGGAGGCCGCCATGCTGCAATCACCCGCCACTTCGATGCCGCCAGCAAATAATATCCATTGTCCCGCCGCCAATCCGGAGAGCGAGGCCTATTTCGGCCACCGTAAGAGTCCCCGCCCTCATCGCAATGCGTTCTGAGCAAAATAGGCCTTTCGGGACACCGTTTTTGCCATAGCTCGAAGACGCGTCGCTATTGGGAAGAGAGCGGAAGTAATGCACTCTCCCTTTTACACGGTTTTAGTTGAAAAACGTGCTTCCTTCTCCCCATTTCGTGAAGAAGCTTTAGGTGCATTATTAGAATGTTCTATTAAATATGCACAGGGCTGTATTTTAAATATTCGCATTGCAATTCTGCAAGCACTTTTTTCAGCAGCCTTTCTAATGCAGGTTGTGAATTCTGGTCTCAGCACGTAGATGGAGGTGGTAAAAATCGGAAGAATAACTAAAACGTCTTTCAAGCAGTTTGGGAGACAAATCAACCCGTATTTGCTTTAAAGACATTTATTACTATCAAGGCATTTCAAAATAAGACCTCGCAGGTTGTAACATTTAAAACGCGCCATTTTCTGTTACTTCCACCCCCACCCCTTCCAATGTAACTATCGGTGTGCTTACTCAGAGGTTTTCCCTGTTTCAGAGCAGCTTCAGTGAACTCTTAAAGACAATAGTAGCCTTCAAAATAACTACCGGTAGATAGATTTGGGAGAAAGTCCAATGTAATTCAGTAGCTAAGTACACATATAACTCTAAGTCATGGTTTGTCTTATTATAAAAAATAAACCACCTTGTGTTGCTTCATACTTTGCATTAAGTAATAAGGTAATTTTATTCGTTTTGGATTAATAAAATGAGTGAACCAAGGTACTGATATAAACAAATTTTGAAACATACAAATATTGCATGCAAATATTAAATGCAAAAATAAGATGGAGTATATTGTTTCTAAAATGCTTAGCATAAATGCATGTAACTGGAAAAAGTTGTAAGCTGTCTTCAAAGACATGTACAGTGGAACCTCTGGTCACGACTGTAATCCGTTCCAGGACTTCGGTCGCAACTCGATTTGGTTGTGACTGGAAGCAAGACTGACTGCACATGCGCATTAAAAAAATGGCGCAGAAGAGGAAATCGCTGCAGCAAGGAAAATTGCCACGGCTGTGTTTGATCGCCACCCGAGTATTTGTTCGCGACCAGATGCAAAAAAATTGCGACATTTTTGGTTGGCACCCGATTTCGTCATGGTCAGAAGCGTTCGTGACCCGAGGTTCTACTGTAGTGGGTAACAAGCTAAATGTCAGGTGTGTGAAACCACAAGCCCAGCAAGCAAGATGCCAGCTATAACCTCAATCAGGGAACAAGAACAGTAGAACTTATGTGAGACAAAGTGGGTTACACGGTTAAAACTGAAAACAGCATGAGGAAAGGGGAAAGGGAGGTTTTGGAGGGGGGGAGTAAACTAAATGCTTTGACTGGATGCTGTGCTAACAAGGGGGGGGGAGTGAGTCTGTGTAAGGGCATATAAGATGACCTTCATGCTTTGTTCTGTGTTCACCTTTGTTGCACCTGTATTTGCAAATACAGTAATAAACTTTGTTGCTTTCAAATTGTTGTCTCGGATGGATCCATATGTGAACATGCAGTTTACAACAGTACTGTTTATAAACCATGACTGGCGGCTTACTGGATATACAACAAGCAATTGCGTATTTCATAAATTATTCTTAAGCAAATACAGTACTGTAATGTTATCTGACTTCACTATTAGAAGATAGGATTATTATTTTTTTATACAATATTGTTAGATGCTTGACAAAGATGTGGAGTGAGGGCTGGGCAAACTCTTACAATGAGGTGGCTCATTGTAGGAGCTCTTACCATTACTATTATTCTATCCTCATCAAGTGTATTACTGCAAAACTTGAAAGCCATCTAGACACTGCAGATTGTTCAAAATGTAGTGGCACAGATCACTACAGGTACACCTAGGTACACTATATGGTATAGGTAGGCTCTGTGATCTTCATTAGCTCCCAATATACTTCCTAGAGGACCATAAGGTGCTGGGTGTCATCTATAAAGTTCTCCATAGCCTGAAGTTGGGTTATCTGTAGAACAACATCCCTGGTTGTTCTTACTCATGGCACTAAGTCCTGCAAGAAACTCCAGATTCCCCAATTAAAGAATGTTATCTAATGGTGTTGGAAGAAATATCCATCTGGTTCAGTTCCAAGCTTGGAGAAAGGCACTGAAAACGAAATAAGAGTCTGGAGGTTGATTGGAAAGAGGGTTTAATGATGAAGCAGAACCACATGGATTCTGGGTATTTGGAGTTAAGAGTTGGGGTTATTTATACCTTCTCCTGGGTTTGAACTTCCTGTTCCTGTGCAAGAACATGTATTCTATTGGCTGTTGTCAGACTCCCATAAGGCCATGTACAAATCCTTGGAGTTTGTCTGAGCTTAAGTTTGGTTGAAGTTTGGCAGATGCAATGAAGGGACTTGTTGGGCAATTCCTATTGTGACTGAGGGCCAGAAGTGGGCTACATGTACAAGCAGTTCTTTGGTTGTGAGCGTGAGCGTGCTAGCTTCACTTGCATGCACCCCTTTGGGTGTGAAATGGAGTTTCAAAGAAGCAGGTAATCAACTCAGGCAGTTCCGGTGAGTAAAGCAGGGGCAGCGCAAAACTCAGCTGGGCAGCGAAGGTGGAGGGAATGAGCCAGAAAATTAATTACAAATGAATAGCTTAGCACAAGGATGGGTGGGGGGGTCCAGCCAGCGATCAAAGCTAAGGGTTCACCCGAACCTGCATGACCACACATAGCAGCCCACCACTGCTGAGGGCTAATCCTACCTTTGTTCAGATCTTGCTGCAGAGAATTTTTGCTTATGAATAAAGCTAGCTATCTCTTTAATTCTTAAATGCTGACATCTGCTGTGGGCTATTAAGGAAGGTGGCAGCTGCTTTCTGTCTCCTAGAGCATGCTTCTCAATTTCTCATCCAGGGAAATATAATATTCTGCCTTTTTAATATTTCATTCTTCTAGGACAGTGGTTCTCAACCTGTGGGTAGGGGCCCCTTTGGGGGTCGAACGATCCTTTCACAGGGGTCGCCTTAAGACCATTGGAAAACACATATTTCACACATATTGTCTTAGGAACCAAGACATCAATTTTATGGTTGGGGTTCACCACATGAAAAACTGTATTAAAGGGTCGCCGCATTGAGAAGGTTGAGAACCACTGGTCTAGGAGATGGGGGGTGCTAACCTACAATGGGATCTAGAAAGCATGCTTTTTCTGCCACAGTGCTTGGCCTCTGGAGAATCACATCCTCCAGGACTAAATTAATCCTGACCCTTCTGAGCTTTTGTAAACTGTTGAAGATTGGGATGTGTTTCAGAGTTTGGGATCTAGGAATTTAGAAGGCCATTGATAGGTTTTCATTGTTTTTTCCAGGTTTACTCTTGATGACCACTGTGTGATTTTTCTCTTTGTTAGTATTGTTTTTATGGGTATTAGTTCTTCAAAGCTGGGGAGGAAACACTATTTACAAGATAGGCAGCTATGTAAATTGATTTAATAATAGTTTGTCAACAATTTATTAAAATCTAGTGGATCAGATTATAGCCATCTGGATTTGAGCTCCATATTAGAAGATACATGAGGATGTAAATTTGGCAATAGTTTGTCCTATTACTTATAATTCTTTTAAATATTGGCAGGATGTATGAGAGATGCATCTGCTACTGGCTCACTGTCTGCTAAAGATGGATCTGGCCCGAGTTAAGAGAGGTGATCAGGATGTGTTCCATTCTACCTGTGTATATATGTACGTGCCTTTGAGTCAGCTTTTGATTCCTGACAACTACATGAAATAGTCTCTCCAATTTTCTTGGCAACATTCTTCAGGTTTAGCATTGCTTCTTTCTTAGGGTTGAAAAAGAGTGACTGGCCCGAGGCTATACAGTTGATTTTGTGCCTAAGGCAGGACCAGAACTCAAGAGTCTCCCAGTTGAGAGCCTAGCCATTACACTGAACTACCTAAAGGAGTAATAAAACTTAATACTGAGATTCTTTTGACTGAGATTCTGTATAAATGTAGACCAGTCCCCAAATATTCAATTACTTATAGAGAAGAAACTTTGCAGCTCCAAATACATCTGAATTATATCTTTTTATTTTTACCCATTTCAGCCAGAGGTGCTTGGCCTTTGCCTTGGTACTTTTAGTAAATGGCTTTTGCCAGAAACTGATAAGACGAGTATGGCTCTGGTAGTTTTCCTGCTTTTCTTGGCAGCTTTCAATAAATACTATCAACCATGATACTCTTTGGACCGCTCTCTAAATTGGTCCTTAGGAAGAATGTTTTATAATGGCTCCAATGTTTCCTGTCAGGCTATACCCAAAAGGTGATGTTGAGGAACCTTTGTTCTATATAAAGGCTGTTGATCTATAATGTCCCAATTTTTTCCATTTTGGGTCTCATGCTTTTTACCATCTACAAAAATTGATGGGGGAAAGTCATTCAACACTTTGAACTAAGAAACTTTCAATATGCTGATTATACCACACTCTACTATTCCCTTACTATCCAGTGATAACAATCAGCACCATAGAGCTTTACCATTACTATGTAAAACAATCAATCTCAACTCCAGTTTTTATATACCAGCAGCACTTTGTTTACCTGTTTGATTTCAGCTTGCTCTCTCTCATCTAGCCCATGTCGATAAAAATAGTGTGCACTCAGAGAGCCACATATTAAAAATAAGCTGGATACTTTGAACTCTGCAGCACAAACCCTGACATATGGCTTCTGTATCACAGAAAGAATAATATTCTTATAGTTTAATAATTAACAAAGAATACTGTAGTTGCAGCTTTTGTCAACTCTATATTACATGCTGTTGTTGACCTTTATACTTGCCTAGATACTTATCTTTTGAGCTACAAAAAGATACGGGGCAAAACCACTTTCCATGCTGCAAATAAAGCAAGAAACTACCATTTCTCTTTCTGCTGCATTGTTAGAGCTTCCCGGGCACTTCCTGCAGGATGGCTGTTTTTTCCTCTATTGTGGATGCTATCTATGTGTTTAGCACTTCATGAGGTAGTTGCTTAGTGCTAATGCCATTGGAGCTTCCTGGGCATTTGGGCTTGAAGTCCAGGTGCAGCTAGCAGCTGTCTCCCAAAAAGTCAGGATGGCACTCTTGGTTGGTAAAGGAGCAATAAGACAGGAAACCTCAGCTAGATCAACAAGGGCTGTGGAGTGCAAAAAAGCCCAAAAGGCAAGGGGAGGGATAAATGGAAATCTGCAATGCCACTGCCATTATAAATGCTGGTGGATTGCAAAGTGCTAAATTTTGATCATCTGGTCGTGAGGTTGCTGCAATGGCTGTAATTGGGCGAGATCATAAGTCCCTTCATTCAAATCTGTCAGACCAACAGTTGTAAATTGAAGACTCCCTGTATTTGGAAGTATCCCGTGCAAGCAAATTTTAACACCAAGAAAGAACTGGTATATACATTTCAAACTTTATTAAAATTCACTGTGTGTAAAAAAATGATTAAACAGGAATATATACAAACATACACTCTTGTATTCGAAAGTGTTACCTGGCACCCTAGACACAAAAATTATCAGATACTTCAACAAACTTTTAAGACATCCAAAATGACATTACTAAGTTACATCAAAAATAGTGATAATGGAATGCCACTTATCTGTTAAGACTAATTATGATTTTTAATAGAAACTTTATAGCTTCCAAATGCAGTAATATGCCAGCTTAGTAGAAAGATTGCTTAAGGATTCAGATATTTTTGTTAAAAAGTAGCAGTCCATGATATTCTCTTCCGTCGAATTTTATTCATTTACCACAGTCATCCTTTTATTTCATGTTACAGATGTTACGAGTTTAGTCCTCTCTGTATTTCATTCATTTCCTTTACCTGAAAACAAAAAAAGTTATTTCTTAATAAGTTGCTTTTTAAATAATTTCTGCCACTACAAAGAATACTAATCTGTCTCCCATGTGGACAACTTTTTCTATGCCATAATTGTGCAAACAAATATGAATACATACCAGGGGTGAGATCCTACTGCTTTAAAAACCGGTTCGCTGAGCACGCGCTTTGCTTGTGCAGTTTACCAAAAGCTCACCTTCAGCATTACTGCTGGTGAGGAAAACAACTGAGGTGTGACAATCTACACAATCCAATTTGGAAAAGAAAATATAGTCGAGTATAGCGCAGGGGGCGGTGGGGCACTTCAAAGTTGGAGCGAACCTGTTCATCCGAACTGGTCTGAACAGATAGAATCTGATCCCCGATACATACCATCAATTTTACATTATTAAGTATATACAATTTAACTCATGTTTGCAAACCCAGTCTGAATAAAAAACACAGATTTTAAGACTGCTACAGTAACTGTTCCACTACAGAATTCTCTCACACTATGTTTGCTTTTCACTACAAAAAAGCTTTCACAAGTTAATCATATTAAACATTCTCCCAACATTAAAAACTTTGAATAGTTATACACATGCCTGTGAACTTACACAGCAATGAAACACTGGATGTTTATTATGTGAATTGGATCATTCTTACTGAAATATTCTTAACTATTAAAGCTAGTTTATATATTTACAGTAGTCCACAATTTATAAACATTTATTCAGGAACTGTTTGAAATTACAACACTGCAAAACAAAGGGATTTATGAACATGACTGAGGTTATAGCTGTTGCAGTGTTCCCATAGTCACATGATTGAGATCTGGGTGCTTTACAACTTGTTTACATTTACAACAGGTTGCAAAGTACCCTGAGATCAGGTGATTGCCATATGCAATATTTCTTGCCAGTTGCCGCAGGTCAATTGGGAAGCCTGCAGGGAAAGTTACAAGTTACTGCTATATGCCAAGACTCCCTTTCTGAAGACTGGCTAAAAAATATCCATGTCAAAATTTAAGCAGCATTTTCAATTTTCAAACTTCAAGTCTGTTCACCCGTGGGCTGAAAATTCCCCTCCATGTTAAAATCCAAGTGATATTTTCATCAAACAAGCTCAGTGGCTGAAAATCTTCTGGATTTCAGCATGAAGGATTTGCAGTGCTTGAGCAAAAAGGCAAGTCTCTTCGCTCATGGTCCTAAAATCCAAGCAAGACTCATTCCCCAACTTGCATGCAGCCTGCACTGGGCCTATTGGGGCCTCCCCCACCTCCTTGAGACACCCTGTGCTCTTTATCTGGCACTCTCTGTCCGGTAAAATCACTTAACCATGACAGGGAGTGCTGGATGTCAGTCACTGTGTGAACAACTGAGATTCCAGGGGTCTTAAGTCAAGAACTATTTGTAATTAAATATATATAACATTTGTATCACATTTTAAAAAAGTAAAAAGATAGATTTCTATTTAAATAGTTACCTCAGCTTTTTCATACTTGCCCCTCTTTCTTCGGGTAAATATCTGCATGGAGAAAACGAAACAGCTCAGGTATTTTTCTATTCCAACACATTCAAGAATCCAATTTAACAGAACACAATAATACAGAAACTATTGATGCCTATTATCCCTGCCCATTATCCAGTCACCTATAAAAACCATTCCATGTTACTTGTGAAACATGCAGTCTTCAGCTCCCCTATTTGTGCTATTAAAGGTTAATACAATGTGCAACTGATATTTACTTAGAGCCCCGTGCTATGTTTGAACAGTGGGAACAGATCTGAATCTTTGGAGGGTTACTGCACTAGTGTAGGCTAAGAGATGAATCATCTGGCGATTTCTAGATGTTCTGAACTCCCACTGAGGTAGTTTAAATGTTTCATGGATAAATTGTTAATTCAGCAGTCAGGAATAATTTTGCAAAATATTGAGGACATCAGATTCCCTGAACCTTTTGTGGGGATTACTGAACCAGAGAGCTCAATTGTAATATAAAATCTGTTAAAATAACTAAGAATAAACAAAACTAAAATATAATAAGGCTAAAATAAAATTACACATTGCGTAATAGCTCATCCACCCCAATGTTATAATCATGGCATATGAAACAAGAGTATTTTTCGCTGGCTGGCACTTTAAGTAGATGTTCAAGTCCCCTAGATAGCTCCTATAGTTTTAGCTTCTATGGCAGGAATGTTATATCACTAACAAAGAGTAACACAATAAGACAGAATTGTAGTGAAAACTATTTAAAACTTATCATAAATTTATCTTACATCTTTATTTGTCCAGACTGGCTATTACATTCGAACATTACTACCCCATAAGAATGCCATACAGGTAATCCTCGACTTACAACCATTCATTTAGTGACTGCTCAAGGTTACAATAGCCCTGAAAAAAGTGGCTTTTTCACATCTATGACTGTTGCAACATCCCCATGGTCACATGATGAAAATTCAGATGCTTGGCAACTGGTTCATAGCTATGAAGATTGCACTGTTCTAGGGTCATGTGATCACTTTTTAATGACCTTCTGGCAAGCAAAGTCAAAGGACAAGCCAGATTCATTTAAAAACCATGTTACTAATTTAACTGTAATGATTCACTTAATTGTGGCAAAAAATATAAAATGGGGGGAAATTCACTTAACTGTTTCATTTAGCAACAGAAATTTTGGGTTCAATTGTGGTTGTAAGTTGAAGATTACCTGTATTAATATTATATATAATGAATGATGTCTAATAATCAACATACCTACCAATAGTTTCTTCGACTAATATATATAGAGGTGAAAAGTCAATGATACACCTGGGGGGTTTGATATTCAGTTTTACAGAGTCTTAAGGAGCTATTCTATTTCTTTGCTTATCTCAGTTTCCTCAACATTGCGTGGGAACTGATT